GCAGGAAAACGCCACACAGGCAAGCGGGAATGACAAGCCTTGAAATGGTGCCACAAGGATTATAAGGGCCGTTGCGTTTTAAGAAGACCTTTAACATTTCCTGTAATTGGTTTGTGCAAAATTGGAAACATAAAAAGGCTAACTTCACAGGCCTCAGAGAGGAAAACACACACATTCTGCAGCTGGTTCTGTGCCTGCCTTGACACACGGCTGTCTTGCTCTCGGCACCTCTCGTTTCTCTGAGAACCACTCTCATCAATGTTGATCTCGGCGGTACCAGACACCAAGGTCTCCTCTGGCAGGTGACTGCCTTCCTGTGCTCCTCGTACACAGGGGCTGTCCCAAGTGCTTTGCATACAGAGTAACTCAGCCATGAGGGGGTGACAACTCACAAAGGAGAAATGAGCTCAGAAGAAACTGGGCTCCAAGGCGCTAACCTCCATGAATAACAGACCCCAGGGCAGTCTGGAGCGGCTGATCAGTTCCAGTCCCTCCCAACTGCTCTCTGCCTTTCCTCCCTCCACAGCTCTTCTGGAAGTTCCTGTCAGGATGGTTCAGGAAGTTCACTGACCGGAAGTTCCTGTCAATGACCGCAAAGGGAGAATTTGCACCACTGTTAGACTTGAGAGACCCTTATATTTTGCCACCATTTCTATTTGTTCTTTTCCTACTCCCTCTGTAATGTACCCATTGCCTAGCCCTCAACCTCAGGAGTTTCTAAATAGCTTCATTAGATAAGGGAGCACTGCCCTCCTTTGGGTACCTATTGAATTTGCCCAAGAAAGTGGGACACCTGAGGGAAGGGGCCCTGAATTGGCACCCACCACCATCAGGCATGATGAGAGGCAGAGAACAGGAAGAGGGGCAGAGAGACCAGGATAAAGCTTTTCTAAATAAACTTCTTTTCTGACATAGAGGACAGTCGAAAGTATTGCATGTGTGCACAGATACTCTCCCCCTCCCCCTCCCTGGAAAAGCTGTCCCTCATTGATTAGACGGCAAAGTATAAAGTGCTTTTAAACCCATGACTGCTTTCTTTGAGCACTGCATGACATTTTTTTCAGTCCTTCCATTCCTGTCAGTCCCATACAGGTGTTTGGCTCAGTACTCAGAATTATCTGGTCCTAGGGCAAAGGATGGAGTTTTTTGCTTCAAAGAATAAAATATTTGCTTGCCAAACCATAGAGAATGCTAACTTATGATCTGTAATTTGATACAAAATGCCTGGCATTAGTCCATATGTAAGCTAATTTGTTGTTAATAGAGAACAAAGCACACACTTTCCTTTGCTCTACCCAATCCAACTGTCTGTCCATCCTAAGCAGATGCAGGCCACGTTTTGAATATTAAATATACGTGCAGATGTCCACAGAAATTTGTCTTCGTTTCAGATAATACCCCGCTAGGTCCCCGTGTGACTTGTACTTACAAAAACAATAGGACCATACCCCACCCCACTGCAATAACCTAAAGACTAAAAGCCACAAACGCAATTGAAAACTCAGTCTCACATACAGATGATGCACCACACAAATAAACATTCTCAGGGTAAGTAGGGAGATTGGTGAGAAGAAGCTGGGCTTTCAGTAGAAGAGGAAACAGGATGTAGGTGAGACGCTGGCATTTCCTGTGCAAGGTGGTGATGGCATTTGTGTAAGGGTTGGTTCTGGCAAAAGCCTTTCTGAAATAGTTCTCATTCTCAGACATACAGGCGTGAGATCCCCTCCTTCACAAACCTCTCTTTGTTATCATATTGGTTAAGGCTTGACGGAAGTGACTTCATTTTGATTCTGAAAACTTTTACATATTCAGTTATTTAAAGCCAAACGACAGCACTAGAGTTCAAGCACTAACCCACCCACCCACCCAAAGGATTTTCTAAATCATCTGCTGTTTGCACGCAGTATGAGCTGAAAATGTCCCCGGGGAGGAGAAGCCGTGCACTGGGCCCCTGGCATGGATTTCCTTCCCTTTCACACATTTATCTTCTCCTACAGTCCACTCACCCTGCTTATCCTGGTCCTTGGACCGGAAGGGCCCACGGGAGCCACAGTTCTGTCCTCCCTGCACCCCGGGACCTTGGCTGGGACCAGAGTCATCCGGTTCACTTTCCAGAACGCACCTGACAGGTGCGTGGGACCGGCCTGTGTTTGGTTTTCTGCAAGTGTTTTTCCTCTTTTGCTACTACAGCTGTTCCTGACATAATCTACTCCTTTCCTAGATTTTTGTGAAAATTTCCTTTTGTTTCTGATGATGAAAACGGGCAGCCAGGTCTCCTCCACAACTTAGTCACAGTGCACCTGCAGTTGTTGAGACCTTCCACTTAGTATTGCTGTGATAACTATTAAAAATAACAGCGTGTTTTTGTTTTAACCAGGGATCGAATTCTGGACCTTGCGCTTGCAAGGCGGGCGGTGGAACCACTGAGCTAACCCTCACCCCCCCAACCCGCCCAGCATATGCTATTTTTGAATTCCCACAAACTCAGATAAATCATGCATTATATGTATTCTTGCTAATCCTCACACCACCCTTACAACAGTAGTATTGTCCCCGTTAAGGGATAAGGGAACAGATGCTCAGAGAGGCTGTGACTCCCCAGGGTCACAGAGCTGCCCAGTGGCCAAAACCTGGGTCTGAGCTTCCGCGGCGGCCTCCGGGTCTCCGGGCTCCGCAGGGGGCGCTGTGGTCCCGCACGGTCCCCAGCCGGCCGGGTCGGACTCCGGGCACAGCAGCTCCGCGGGGCAGGATCCGGGCCGCCGCTCGGCCGGGCGGGCCAGCTCGGGCTGCAGGTGGGAGGCCGCTTCCGTTCTTGCCCACAGCCTGCTCGATGCCCTCTCAGCGCGGCGGCTGGCTTCCTCCCAGACTGGTCCAAGAAGAAAAGGGAGGGGACCCCGGCCTTTTAGGACAGAGCCTCGGAAGTCACACAGGCCACTTGGGCCGGGATCCGTCCAGCGCACGTGGTCGCCAAATCCAGCCCTGCTCCGAGAGGGCAGGTGCGTCCACCTTTTAAAGGAAAGCTCATCACGGAATTAGTGGACATTTAAAATAAAACCACCACACCTCACTCCTATCCTGGGATTTGGAGTCAGGACCAGACTAGGATGGGACCAGCCAGGGTCCCAGGACACAGCACTGTAGGAGGCCCTGGGTCTCGGGGTCGTAGGCAACAGAGTCAGGACGAGGAGGGCATTCTGCCATTACCAGCTTGCTAGTGATCTTTCTTAAATCAATTTCTCATTATTCAATTCTAGCACATAGAAATTTCTAAATTGCTTTGGATACTGGTGCTTCCCCCCAAATTTACTAAATTCTTTTATTGGTTCTAGAAATGCTGCTGTTACTGTTTTATATTTTCTAAGATTCCATCAAACTATCTATGCAGATAATCGGTCCACCTGGAAGCAAAAAATAGTTTTAACTGGCCCCTTTCATGGCGAGTGCTATTCTTTCTTCCTTCCTTGAGGAGACAATGCAGTGGGAAACAGAAGAGTCTTTTCCACAAACGGTGCGGGGACGGCTGGATATTCAGGCGTGAGAGGATGGATTTGCAACCTCACAATGTGCACAGAAATTAACTCAAGATGGATCATAGACCTAAACAGGAGAGCAAGGACTATAAAACTCTTAGATGAAATCATAGGAATAAAGTCATTACCTTCGGTTACCCATTGATTGACTAGATAAAATGCCAAAAGCACAAACAAAATTTTGCTCTTTATCAAAATGTGAAATGTTTCAAAAGACACGAATAGAGAAAAAGGACAACCGACAACCATATACTGAGAGAAGAACTCTGCCCTAAGGAGGAACTTGAATCCAAAATACACAGAAAAAACAAACATAAGAAAGACAACCTGGGCTGGGGATTTAGCTTAGTGGCACAGTGCCTGCCTTGTGGTCCTGAGTTCGATCCCCAGTACCAATAAAAAGTAAAAGACAACCTAATTTAAAAATAGACAAAAGGTTTTAACAGGCATTTCTCTGATGTTTGAGTAGTTGATAGGTAAAAAGAGATGGCTCCTCATTCATCACTGAGAAATGCAAATTTACAGCCGGGAGGTTAGCTCAGTGGTACAAATGCCTGCTTTGCAAGTGCAAGGTCCTGAGTTTGATTTCTGGTACTAAATAAATAAATAAGAAATGTAAATTTAAACAAGTAATAGAAGGAGGTACTCACCAGAATGGTATACAAAAGATAGGCCGCAAGTAGCTCAGTAGTAGGCTAAGTTCCTAGTATGTGTAGCGCTTTTGCTTCAGTCCCTTCTAACACACGTACACCACACACACACACACACACGTGCTAAGAATACAGAGAAACTGGAACCCTGTACATTGCTAGAAGAAATACGGTGGTACCTCATTCACAGACTTAATTCTGAATCAAATTTCCCCATAACATCAATATTGAATCTAGCCACTGAGTTAGATTTGATTCTCATCCAATCCGGTTTGTGACTAGAATCATGGAAAGAATTAAGCTCATGAGCCTGAGCACCACCGTGAAACGGTACAGACACATGGCAACTTCTGAGGCTACGAGGCATGGAGTTACTATGTGGCCCAGCAATTTTATTCTTCTTAGGCCTGTATCTAAGAGGAATAACATGAATATATGTCCACACAGAAACCTGCATGCAGACGTTTATAGCCCCCTTACTCATGGCAGCCTGAATATAAACGCAATCCAGAATTTCTATCAATGGATAGACGTGGTATGCCCTTATAACGGAGTATTATTCAGCCATAAAAGGGAGGAAGCAGTGACACACATTAGAATGTATAAGAACCTCAAACACCCATGTCAAAGAATCCAGTCAGAAGGTAATGTATTATGTGACTATATGAGAAGTCAGGGCTGGGCCAACTTACAGAGAAAGTACAGCAGTGGTCGCCTGGGGCTGGGGACAGAAACGTGGGATTGCAAGTGGGTAGCAGTTTCCGTTTGTTTGTTTTGTTTTTGTAAACCCTCTAACTTCACTTGCTCTTACTCAACTTAGAAATCACCCACTGGATGGAGGCCGTGCAGCCACCGGTGCTTCCTGGGGACCCAAGGCCACCCTCGCTGAGAACACAGCTTCTGCCCGAGCCTGCGCGCGTCCCAGAGGCCCGGCGTCTGACTTCAGGGTCTGTCCCCCTGCCGCCTTAGCCCAGCTCTGCGCGAGGCTTGTGGATCATTTTTGAATGTTGTGTCCAGAGCTGCGGCCCGCCGGGGTGGGCCTGTGTTTTCTCGCCCCTTTTCTCCGCCCCACCCTTGTGCTCCAGAAGCGGCCGAAGCCCACACCGCAAGGCCCAGCCCCACAGGGCCGGGTGACACACAGATCGCGGTGGTCCACGTCCACCAAGCAGACGCATCTTCTGGAGCCCTTCCGGGCCTTTCGCCTACCCCTGAAAATCAGCAAAACTGCTGCGCTGTGCAGACGCCCGGCCAGGCCGAAGTCCCACCCAGGCCTCCGCGACCTCTGCCTGCGCCGCTGCTGTGCTGCAGCGTCCGGCCCGGGCTCGAAGCGGCTTCGAGGCGACACTCGGGCAGTGTGCTGAACTAACTGTCAGCTTGGACCGCCCGGGGGAAGCCAGGCAGCGCGGTTGTGGGCGCGAAAGACCCGCCTGAGGGTGGCGGCCAACGGCTAAGAGGAGAACTGGACGGGAAGATCGGACTGTCGATGCTCCTGGGGAGGCTTTGCCGCGGCTGGTTTCCCTGATGCAAACTCAGCTGTTCTCATCGTCAGAGGACGAGCTGGGTCCTCGCTGTGGCCGGGGATGACCGCTGCTCTGCTCAGGGGAGCTCTGGTCTTTGCCCGAGACCCCTCAGCCTGGGGGCACAGGCCCTTTCCTCTACCAGCGCAGGCTCTTTGGCTCCCCCGCGGGCCTTCGGGCCTTTCCGGTGCAGATCCTCCATGCGGACTTGAGTGAGGCATTGCCGTGGGCTCTGGGCTTTCAGCTGGACTATGTGGGACCCTGGAGTCACTGATACATTGCATTCGTCCTCCCCTACAGCACCTACAGAGCTACTTTGTCTTTTTCATGGCCGCATAGTATTCTATGTAAGGACGTCGCTGAATTCCTGTGCCTTTCTGTGATCAGCTATGTCTTTCCCTTTATGTTTCAGAGGTTTCAGCCCATGACCAGCTGGTGCTGCTGCCTTGGGCCTTTAGTAAGGCAGCACCTCATGGCCAGAAGCAGGTTTGGGAGATTCAAGAGCGAGGGCCTCAGGGCCATTGCATAGCAGAGCCAGGAGCTTGCACAGAGGAAACCACAGGGCCAGACAGGAAATGGGTAGCAGTTTTCTTTAGAGGTGATGGACATGTTCTGAAATGAGATGTGGGTGCTTTTTGCACAGTTCTGTAAAAATGCTAAAACCATCCGGTTATACATTTCAATCAGGTGAATTTTAGAGTATGCAAATAATATCTCAGTAGGACTAATTTTTAAACAAAAGGAATGAGTATATTGATACAGCAATAATAAATCTCCAGATGATTTCAGAGTGAAAGAAACTAGGTTAAAAAAAAAGGGTACATATTATATGATCCATTGATATAAACCTGTAGAAAATGCAAACTGATCGATACTGGCAGAAAGCAGATCACTGATTTCCTGTAGGGACCATGAGTGAAAGAGAGGGATTTCTTTGGAGAGGCAGCAGGGAACTTCTAGAGCGCGTGCTTTCTTTTACAGTATATTGTTTGTGATGATGGTTTCACAACAGGTACTGAATGGGACACTTCCTGGGAAGTTTATTCCATGTCATTTATACCTCAGAAAGAATTTTCTAAGAAGTCATTTCATGGTCATTACACTATGATTTTGGCATTGAAACAAAGCTATGTCCCGAAAAGCATGGAATGATCTCAGTGGACAGAAATCTTCTATTAGTGAAACAAATATTCATTAGGGTAGGAAGGACCACAGCCTCGTATTTTCTTGCAAAAAGCAACATGTGCCAGGGGATGCTTATGTGAGAGACACTGTGCTATGCTTGTTACTGAGGACGTGTGCAAAAGGATTGCCTGCATTATGCTAATCAGTGCAAGTGAAGGTCAGGGAAATGACCAGATCCCTGAAGATACAGAGTAAGAAATTTTAAAGCAAGGGAAATATGATATAATCGATTCATCTGCAATTTCATCCTTAAGGCTTTGTACCGTTTTTCTTTCTTACAGTTACCTAAAATAAAGATGTGTCTTATAATTGATGGAGTCTTAGACTCAACAATCCCAGGTTACAGGAGGCCACAGCACGCCAAGAGCCCTCTTGGGAGAGCAGGCCTGACAGGAGTCTTCAAGAACTAAACGGCTAAAGTGAGTTGGGGATTTAGCTCAGTGGCACCAAGCCTGCCTCGCAAGCACAAAGACCTGAGTTCAATCCCCAGTACCGGGAAACAACAATAACAACAACAACAACCTCCCCACCCCTATCCACACACACTAACCCAGATTTAGGGCATCTGCTCAGGCCCAGTTTAGTTAAGGAGCTTATGGACATCTTTCTCCCCCTGGTGGACAATTTTTAAAGTGCAGCCCTACCTCTTGCATGAAAGTCTATTAAGGCTGGAAATAAATTTAAAAAGTCACTTCCAAAAAAATGAGAACCAAGACCTGTCGTGTAAAGGTACAAGATCCCAATAATGAATGTAACTGTACTGTACACCTAAAATGTACCAATAAACTCAATTTTTAAAAAGTCACTTGCAGCCTCGAGTGTGTGTTTGTTTTTGTTTGTTTTGTGGGTTGGTGGGTTGGTTGGTTAGTTGCTTGGTTGGTTAAGGGTTTTTTGCATAAGTACCTCTCACACGGTTAGTAATAAAAAGTCTGAATTTTTGCAGTCACCTTAAAATCATTAACCTGCATGATCTAAAATCCTCAAGTCACAGAACCGTGGAACTAAAGGGGACCCAGGCCATCACGGTTTTCAGTGTGTCCCCTCTCTGCAAGCAGCAGTGGATGGAGAGAAAGATCCCCAGCTTCAGTGAACCATAAGCCTGTGTTCAGCTTTGACTTGGGGAAGTTACCCAACAACTCTGGGTCTCAATTTTCATCCATGAAACACTGGTTCACATCACAGGATATGTGCCAGGGTTAGACAAGGCGCCGTACGTCAGGGCTACACACCCCAAATGCTTTCAGAGCCAGGTAGGTGGTGTCGACCAGCACAGCAGGCAGCTGAAGCCCTTTTCTAAGAGAACATTCCCTATTGTCGTGGTCAGTTTAGTAGGAATAGGAACCTGGACCACTGACTCTTAAATGTATTACATAGTGCAGAAAAGCACCTGCGGTCTTATTGTTCGGGGTCCAGCATGTGGAGAATGCGCTACAGGTGATCTGTCACAGTGGGGTGACTGGGGGCAGCAGCTTCTCAGGACTCCTCCACCCCCAGCTTCCTGACAGGGCTGGATGCAGCGTCTGGGCGTTCGTGGGCTGCCAGCTCAGTGCTAGGGAGAGCACAGACCCCAGCACTGTGGGCTTTCAGTTGAGAACAATTATAGTACTGCCGTGTGAGAAGCATCGACAGGGCCAGATGACGTGCTCAGGCCTCCGCAGTCTGCTGCCTGAAGCCTGTGAGCTGCCATCTATAATTACCCTGCTTTGAAGCTGGGGCCCTCTGCAGTGGGAGGTCCAGCGACAGAACTGCAGCCCTCCCTCCCCCTCCCCACATCTCAGCCTTGGTTTCCCTTTGAAAATCCCCAGCCCCCTCCCAGGAAGACACATTCTCGGGAGTCATTTCAGAAATAACATTTTTAGCACCCAATCCCTAGTCTGCATCTGAACTGCTACATATTTTATACAGATTTAAAACATTTTCTAAAATGGCTTTTATTACAGTTGTCCTTTGGTATGTGTGGAGATTGGACCAGACTCGCCACACAATCCAAAGATGCTCCATTCCTCACAGAAGTTATGTAATATTCGCAAATAACCTATGAAGATCTCGTGTCATTTGAATCATCTCTAGGTTACTTTTAATAGCCAACACAATGCGGATGCCATGGAAACAGTTGCTACGCTGCATTTTGTTTAGGGAGACGTGACAAAAAAAGTCCT